TGGCGGCTTGTTTTCTCATTGGTTTTGTTTGTTTGTTTTATTGTTTTCGTTTTTTTTTTTAATTATTTTGTTAATAAATATTATTCAGAATAACGATATCTATCACTTTCCGGCATGGGAATCGTGTGTGCCCTTTCTTTCGCTCCAGAGGGCGTGGAGGGAGATAACGACGACGACGACGATGACGACGACTACGATGACAAAGACACAAGGACGAAGGAGAGTCGGGGCCCGACAACCGAGAGTAAAGCCGTCGAATTTAGTTGAGATTTCAATTGATGTCGAGAGGTGAGGGGGATAAGAGGGGTGGGATGGAAAGGGGGCGGGGGTGGAGGCGGCGTTTCAAAGTGGATTCTCTCTAAATGATACTTTTCTCCTTAATAGCTATAGTGTTTTGTTTTGTTTCTTTCGGTTTTGCAGTACAATTTAATTGATTATTATTTCATAGTGTATTTGATCCTCTGTCGCTAATAGGTGTGTTTGTTTGTTTGCATTTTCTTCACAATGTTTAGTTTTTTGTTTTGCTTTCTTTTCTTTTGTTTTTTTTTTACTATAAATTACTTATAAGTCTTTGGTTTGTCACTTACACTCTTATGATTTTCTTGTCTCTCTCTCGCGTTTTTCTTGTGATTTTTTGTTTTCATTTAGAGTTACTTTTTTTCTGAACGATTATTATTTTTAACACTACCACTTGTTGCATGTTTACGTGTTGCTGTTGTTGCTGTTACTTAACATCATGTTTAATGTTTTTTCTTAGTTTTATTGTATTTAGCACTGCTAGAAAATTGGACACAATAGAGGAGGTGTTCGTATTGGAACGAGGAGGGGAAAGGGGAAATTTTGGTTTTGGTTTGTTTGTCAAATTGGTATTGGTATTCGTCTCACTTGTTTTCTCCGAATTCACGAGTATGTTTGTATGTGTGAGTGTGTGTGTGTGTGTCGGTGATAGAAGGAAAGGCTTGTTATTATGTTGCTTATCGTTCCTACAATGTTGTTCTTCCTCGTTTACAGAACGGCTATTTTCTACACAAATCTTCCAAATACTAATTGTCAGATTTCATCCTTATTACGAGTTACTTTATAGTATGTATGTTTATTTAATAATTTACAAAAAGCACTTTAGTTTTTCCCTTTTTTCAAATTCCTTTGCTTCATTCGGCTTTGAATTGCAATCTTTTGATTGTTTCTCTTGTTCTGTGTAGTGTTGTTTGTTCGGAGAGAGTGTGTCACTCCTTCAGTTTCCCCCCAGCAATTCCCGACCGGAAGGCGACCGCGGAACAAAGCAAAGAAGAGTTGAAAATCAAACAAAGCAATAATTAACCTGTCGTCGCAATAAACGATAGAAAACTGGTATAAGCAATTGACGATTTGCAATATATATGTATCAGAAAAAATTTACTTCCCAAATCGGGGGGTGGTGGTGATGGTTCTTACTCTCGCTTTGATGACAAGTAGTTATATGATATTGACTTGGTTCGCTTCGCAGATATATTTTGTTCAAATGATACTATACGTTTCCGAATCCTCTCGCTAGATTCCATCAGGAGAGAGGATATGTAATTGATAACGATCGATGCGATATGGTTGTTGGAGCGAAATGTGCCGGCCGGCGTTCTTGGCGAATTAGTACGAATTCAGATAGATTTTAGTTAGTTGATTATAATTTAAAGTAGGAACTGAAATGAACACATAACATGGAGATTGGGACGTCATTTTGGCGGAGATTCGGTTCCCTTAAATTTTAATTAGCACGATAAAGCATTGGTGAATAACTACGATATTTCGTTCAGTGTCGAGTCAACGATTGGTTGTAGATGAACGACAAATTGTGCGTTTTAAGAATTCGTTATCAACATTTCAAAAGGGCGAAACTTGCAAGCAAGTGGTGGATTGGAACCCGGCAGAACATCGCAACAGATTAAAACGAAAGCAAGCAGCCGGCCAGGATGGAAGGCTTTCACGTTGGCCGTTTGCACCGCATGTTTCCTTAAGGAAGCCTTTTCCTGTCTACATCTGTTTACATCTCCAAGGGGTTCGGTAGCCGAGTGAGATGCCTGCGGAAGACCGTCACAGGTGATTAGAGCGTAGGTCCGCTAGAACTTTTGTCAGTTCGTAAAATACTCGACCGATTTATCACGACTAAAGGCACTCGAACTGTCTCTACACCAACTGGTAGAGGAATTACCCCCTTGAAATTGGCGATTGAAGCAATTAACCATACTGTCGAGCAGTTTTGAGACCACCTTCTACCAGCGATTTTAGGAAAATAAGGCAATCAATTCCAGATTTTTTCTAGCTTTGCATAAATAAGACTCTATTTTCTCGAGCTTATAGAAGAAAAACATTCGAAATATTGATCAACTACAAGTTTCAATTGGTAGGAAACGTGATTTTAGACTGCTCGAATGATGTGATCCATTGTTTACGGTAGCAGTTTCGCCCTTTTGAAATGTTGATGCCAAACTAAAGTTCACCGTCAGCAGCAATTAGGTTCCGATAGAACTGCTAGCTGATGATCAAATCATTATAAACCTTGTGGAGGCTTTCACTGCATAAAGAGCCATCCTCCACAGTTGTTTTTTGGTAACTAGCATCCACTTCCAATTTGTTAGTTTTTGGTGCTGCTACGAATAATTGGGGGCCCTTATTACCGATGTCACTTCACGATGAAGTGACAAATTGTCACTCACGGTGAAGTGATTCCCATTTGATTTACACGGCAATCACTTCACCGTGAGTGACAACTGGTCACTACACTTCGTTTTCACCGTGTAGTGAAACCCGTAACAAGGGCCGGAACCAAACTGAGTGCATAGTTGACACTGCGAACACGATGCCTCTGGTAAAATGTGTAACGGCAAACTTGGGCTGTTTGGAAAATCATGGCTCAGCCATTTATTGACTAATTTCAAATCTATTGCCGCCATTTGCATTTTTACTTTAAAGGTTTTTTCGGTATCAATAGATTAAAAATCTATCGGCAAATTGCTGAGCAAAGATTTTTCAAACATTGCCAATTTGCCGTTATACATTTTACCGGAGGCATCCTCTTCGAAGTGTTAAACCATTTTTTTTATTTTGCATAGACTTTGATGATCTTTCTACCTTCCAGGGCTGGAAAGCTCGACAAAGAGTGTGTGGTTCTCCCATTTGCTTCACACACTCTTTTCCAACTAATCTGTGAGAAAGCGATCCACACAATGAGCGGTACACTCCGTGCGTCGCAGGGAGCTGGAGGTGAGGTGACTCGCTGTCACTAGTGAGGTCACAAAAGTCACCGCTAGTGAGGTGACTCTCCGTGCAAATCAAATGGAGAGTCACCTCACTCGCGGTGACTATTGTCACCTCACTAGTGACAGCAAGTCACCTCACCTCACTCGCGGCGCAGAATAGACCTCTATTAATCAAATCATGCCGAATATGCTGTTAACTCTGAATATAATGAATGCTGAACGCCATCGAATAATTCAATATGTGTATTTAAGGTGACTGTGGTCACTACAGGGTACTTAGACACCCGGGAACGGTTCCGGTAGGGGACAATGGGGCCACTTTCAGTTTCTAATCTAAATGCGCCGTTCGACCCACAAAACTTGATGATTTTTCAAACTGAAGTGTTTTGACATTATCCCAAAGGCCGATGGATGGGCTGGACCACATTCGGATACCTCGGAACCGGTTCCGGTAAGGGGACAATAGGGCCACTTTCAGTTTTTCACCTAAATGTGCCGTTCGACCTATCAAACTTGATGATTTTTCAAACTGAAGTGTTTTGGTATCATTCTAAAGTTCAATGGATAGACCAGATCACATCCGGATACCTCGGAACCGGTTCCGGTAGGAGGACAATGGGGCCAGTTTCAGTTTCTCATCTAAATGTGCAGTTCAACCTATCAAATTTGATGATTTTTCAAACTGAAGCGGTTTGGAATAATGCCAAAGTCCAATGGATGGACTACACCGCATCCGGATACCTTGAAGCTGATAGTCGGTAGGACCCCAGTTTCAGTTTCTTTTGTAACAGAATTATAAAAAACAAAAACTTGTGTACATTTTTGATAGACTGAAACTAGTTTCATCAAAATTCGTGCAAATCTGGCCGAACTAGAGCAATTATAGATTATTGACTTTGAATTTCGAATATGGTGGTATCGTGAAGGTTACAACAATCATTGATCATTGATCAAACAGGCCATTGTGGAGGTTCTATTTAAATATACACTAACTTTCAAGTTCCAGCTTGCATGCATCAATTTTCATAAGGCTTTAGAGGAATACCGTCTGGTATGTCTAGTCCTTCAAAAAGTTAGGGAATTTTTCAACTTTCATTAAGCTTCAAATAACATGATCAGCTTCATTTGAGCTGTCTACCTTCACTTTCACCGAAGACAACATATCAAACGACTCATGCGACTGCTATAAAACAGTACAATCGCTCCGAACGTATTTGATAGGAAAAACTCCAACCCCAGAAGAAAGGTTTGTGTATTTGCTTATTTTTCTATGCGTTGCTTTCACCTTCGCTCGATCGCAACGCTACTGTATATATCACATGGATTCTGACAAAGCTACCAGTCTTCTTGATATGATGTCTTCGCTTTCACGAAGTTCTGGAGGACTATCCTTCCCCTTAGAAATTACTCCCCCATATTCTGCGCCGCGAATGAGGTGAGGTAACTCGCTGTCACTAGTGAGGTGACTCTCCGTGAGAATCAAATGGAGAGTCACCTCACTCACAGTGAGGATTGTCACCTCACTAGTTACATCGAGTCACCTCACCTCACTCGCAGCACAGAATAAGGTGGACTATCTTCACTTTGGTGAAGCTCGAGGAGGGTGACTCTATCTAAGATGCAGGAAAGATATTCCCCTTTATTCTGCGCCACGAGTGAGGTGAGGTGACTCGCTGTCACAAGTGAGATGACACAAGTCACCGCGAGTGGTGACTCTCCGTACAAATCAAATGGAGAGTCACCTCACTCGCAGTGACTTGTGTCACCTCACTAGTGACAGCGAGTCACCTCACCTCACTCGCGGCGCAGAATAAGGGGGATTGTTTTGCTGTGGTTAGCTGCGCGCACGCTGAATAGATAGAAAGAAGATTGATGATGATTCTTAAGATTTCCTGCAAAAAGATGATGCGCGATGCCAGTAGATGCGAGAAATGAAAGAAGATTTTTCGTAGATTGATTCGCTAAAGTGAGATTTTTCGAGCATCTAGAATTGCGATTTAGATGTGACGCCCCCCCATCTCCAATAGGACTTTCTACCACCACTTTTGTAAAGGAGGATTGTTGCCTTCATTTGGACTTTCTAGCTACACTTTTATAAAGAAATTGAGGACTAGAACTGCCTATAAACGCTTAACTGTCCCATCTCTGCTTGATTTATAAGTCAGCAGTTCCAGGAAAAAGAGCGATTTGTATGAAAGTTTGCTGAAATTTGGCCATTTTAGATCTTCTAAAATTTTCAAAATGGCTTCCTTGAAATTAAAAAAAATATTGCGCAAAATTGACTTTTTTGCGTCATTTCAATCAGAAGTGCCATCTTCGTGTTACAATTTATTTAAAAATGTCAAAGATCCCATTTTAAAAAATTTACAAGTTGCATAATGGTTCAAGAATTTTAGCAAAAATGTGAATAATTGCCGAAGAAGATCCAGGTTTTTCCGATTCTTTATTTGGCGTTGAACTGCTCTATTCATATGGGACAGTTGTTGTGGTCTTATGGATAGGAAAAACCTCCATTAGGCCTTTTAGGCCTATTCTGCGCAGCGTGTGAGGTTAGGTGACAATTAAGTGATGGTGAAGTGACAATTGTCACCTCGAGTGAGGTGAGTCTCCATGCAAATAAAATGGAGAGTCACCTCACCCGAGGTGACAATTGTCACTTCACTAGTGACAGCGAGTCATCTCACCTCACACGCCGCACAGAACATTATCAAATTATGTTTTTGAAATCATGTTGATAACATATTTTTAGATACTTATTTTTTCAATGAGGTTGAATTCATATTTTGATGTTTCTACAAATTTAATTGAAAACAAAATATGATGTTCGACTAAGAAAGCATGCACATTTTTATCACTGACAGCTACTTTTTCAATCTTTGTTTTTTTAAGTCAAAATAAACTAGTTATTCAATGAATTCCGGTATTTTAGAGGTAGTGGATTCTAATAAAATACTTCGACGAATCTTTTGAGAACTTTCTACCATTTTTGGAGGGTTGCCAATTTAGGTGAAGACAGACTTCATGAAGTGTTACATGATTTTACAGGGGAATTCCCACCTCCATTTTTAGGAAGCTTGGATGGACTATCATCTCCATTAGGTCTTTCTACCCCCACTTTCATAAAGCTACAGAGGATTATTACCTCAATTTGGAATTTCTACCTCGACTTTCAAGAAGCTTTCGAGGACTAAAATACCTCCACTAAGGGGACAGCCCGACAAGCGTAGTGGTTAGCATCTACACCTCTCACGCCAAAGTCACGAGTTCAAATCTCATCCCCGAACAAGTCACGGATGACCCATGGCTATTATAAAAAATACCTCCGCTTTCGCGAAGCATTGGAGGCCTATTACCTTCATTAAGACTTCCTATCTTCTCTTTGATAAAGCATTGGAGGACTGTCATTTCCATTAGGGATTTCTATCTCCACTTTAATGAAACTTTGGGGGACTTTCCTCTCAATTCGGAATTTCTACCTTCACTTTTATCATAAAGCGTTGGACCCTAGGGATTTCCTGAGGTCTGTTCCGTGTCGCGAGTGAGGTGAGGTGACTCGCTGTCACTAGTAAGGTGACTAGAGGCTTTGTTTGATTTGCACGGAGAGTCACCTCACTAGCGGCGGAGAATAAGGGGGCCTATCTATCAATTGATGAAGCTTTGGAGGACTACCGTAAAGTACTATAATTTCCCGCATTATCTCAAAATTCGATTCAAATCTTAAATGAGGACATTTTGAATTGAACAAGAATTTTGGATAGGTGTTACTGACTATTGTGTGGGAAGAATATCCATTTAGAAAATATCACAATACACTACAAATTGTTGAACGAAATTATGGCACTTCACGGTATCTTCATTAGGAACAGCTTCACGTCAAATGACGAATCGGAAAAACTCGACCCTCTCCGATTTGCATGAAACTTTGCATAATTGTTTGCTATGAACGATTCACATTTTTTTTTAAATTCGGCCATTTTGGATCATGCAAATTTTTCAAAATGGCGCCATTGAAACTTAAAAAATAGTAGCCTAAAAAAAGACACTTCCGATTGAAATGACATCTGAGACAAAGTTGTAGAGCAAAATAAAGTGTTACTTAAATATACAAAAACATGTGTTTAGTCATTTCAAGTGAAAAAAAAAGAACCTAAACTACTCAAAATGCCTAAGTCCGAATATTAAAATTAAAAAAAAAATCTTATGACAAATGCAAACCTTTAAAATGTTTAAAATTATGGACACTTAAAGATTTACAAAAATCTTAAAACATGAACTTTGGATCAAAATTTTGAACTTTTTCTAAAACCGTTTTTTCATGTAATTTATGCTCAGAAAACAATGTTTGAAATCATTGAAAAATTCCACAAAAAAGGATAACAAAAATTTCAAAATTTTTACCAAAGGTTCTTGTCCTACGGTTTGTGTCAGTTTTCCAGATTTGAACATTCCAAAAGTTTGAATTTTTTTATAATTTTAAAAAAAAAAATCAACCAAGGACATTTTGAGATATTTGGGATTTATTTTTTTTACATAAAATAGTTAAACATTTTTTGTTTATTTTTCCCACGAAGACATGCCTTTTCTCTAAAACTTTGTCTCAGACGACATTTTGATCAGAAAAGCCTGTTCCGTGTTAAAATTATTTGAAAAATTTCAAGGACATCATTTTGGAAAATTTTACAATATTCAAAATGGCCGAATTTTAGCGTAAATGTGAATCATTGCCAATAACAAACAATTACGCAAAGTCTGATACAAATCGGTCGAAGGTGGATTCAAACATTCTTATTTGTTTACGCTATTTTACCAGGAACTGCTCCATTGGAACTTTCCATTTAAACTTAAATTACTCCAAACCTTTGATGAGGCTTTACAGGACGTTCTACCTCCACTTTGATGAAGCTTTGTTGGACTTTTACCTCCATTCAGAATTGATACCTTAACTTTCACGAACCATTATCTACATTAGGGCTTCCTACCTCCACTTTGATGAAGCTTTGGAAGCCTATCATCACTATTGCGTTTCTAACTCCAGTTTGACGAAAATTTGGAGAATTTCCATTTTTATTAAGAATTTCTACCTCCACTTTGATGGTTGCACTCTCCCTCACTTCCACTGGGACTTCCAAACTTTCTCTTTCGTTATGCTTTGGAGATCTAGTACACTTCCATTGTAAATGTTGACCTATCCATTAGAACTATGGAAGCCTATCATCACGCCTACGGCTTTCTACCTCCAGTTTGATGAAGATATGTAGGACTTGAGGACTATCTCACTTCCACTAGGACTTCCAAACTTTCTCTTTCATTATGCTTTGGAGATCTAGAACACCTCCATTTTCATGCTGATTGCTCTCTGAGAAGGACTTTCTACCTTCACTTTGATGAAACTTTGGAAGACTATCGACTCCATTAGGGCTTTCTATCTTCCCATTGAAGAAGCTTCGGAATACTTTCAGCTCCATTAAGAATGTCACCTCCACTTTGATGAACCTTTGGAGGACTATTCACATCGCCACAGTGGCATTCTACCTTCACTTTCATTATTATTTGGAGGATTATCATCTCCATTAGAACTTTCTACCTCCACTTGCATGAAGTGTTGGAGGATTCTATTTTGCGCTTTCAACCTCTAGTTTGATGAATCTGTCGTCTACCAAACGGTCGATCAGACCAGCTCAAAATTGAGTCAAAATCGATTCAATTTCGTCAAAAGAGAGTTGAATTTTCCGAGAAAAAGTCCTGGAAAACCAAGAAAAACTTCTAGAGCATGAGGAAAATTCATGAACATTTTACTCAGTCTAGGATACTTTAGACTTCCACTTTCATGCTGACAGCTTGATGAAACTTTGGAAGACTATCGTCTCCATTAGGGCTTTCTATCTCCCCTTTGAAGAAGCTTTGGAATACTTTCAACTCCGTTATGAATTTCTATCTCCCCTTTAAAGAACCTTTGGAGGATCATTTACATCGGCACAGTGGCATTCTACCTTCACTTTCATTATTCTTTGGAGGATTATCACCTCCATAAGAACTATCTAACTCCACTTGCATGAAGTGTTGGAGGATTCTACTTGGGACTTGCAACCTCCAGTTTGAGGAAGCCTTGCAGGACTATCATCTAACACACGTTCGATCAGACCGACTCAGTTTCGTCCAAAAGTGTATTGAATTTTTCGGGCAAAAGCCCTCATGGCCACTGAGAATAACTCAGAGAGAGAGAGAGAGTCACTTCTACTCAGTTGTATGAGAAATGTATAAAAACTGTAGGTACTCAGCGCTGCCTTCCTGCAGTTTTTATAAATGTCTCCATACCTCTAAGTAGAAGCGACTCTCGCTCTCTGAGTTATTCTCAGTAGCCGGGCTGGAAAACCATGAAAATTTTACTCAGTCCGGGAATATACTAATAGACTGAGTGAAACCTCTATGAATTTTTCTCTTAACCTTAAAAATGTATTTCCTGGAAAAGACTTTTGCCGAAATTCCTCAAAATTTTGAGGAAGTCCGGTGGTCGGTCCTCAAAATTTTGAGTCGGTCTGATCGACCGTGCACATCTTTCATAAAGCTTTAGAGACAACTTCACACTGCTTGTATTTTCTACCTCCATTTTTATGAAGCTTTGGAGCTCCACCTTCATGAATTCAAAACTATGATGAAACTAAGGAACTCACCTCCACTTTCATGAAGGGCAATCACTTCCATTAGGGCTTTCTACCTCCACACTTTGATGATTTTTCGGAAGAGGTCTGTCGCAAAGAGGGCCTCCCAATTTCGATCTTTTTCGATAATTTTTCGAAGGAATCTGAAATTACGACTTCAACTACGACGAAACTCACAGTCCTAGAACATTTCGGTAGAATCTTCTGAAAGTTTTGCAATTTTCGGAACTTGAATATGTATTAACCTTCAAAGGATTGGCAAGGTAAAAAGTTGTGGGAATTCCGAAACTACCATGAGTGTACAAATTTCCGCTTTTAACTGGTGTCAAAAACTGCGATTTTTCAATTTGGTCTGGTTCAATGTTTTAATTGCTGTTCCTCTCGGGCTTGATCCAGTATTAGATTGAAAATATCGCAGTTTTGATCACCAATGGGCGGTAATTGATACTGGATTCAAGCAATTAGTTTCTCGATCCATAGTTTGAGGAAAACAAATGGAATGACGGTAACCAGTTTTGAGTTTAGATTGAACTGATCTAAATTTATTGGTAAGGCTCTCTAGGGGCAGTGGTTTTGAAGGACTTCAGGAAATGTTTGGATGTTTGCAAGGCAAAGTTTGAAAACGGACGACATACTTTCTAGAGGTTTATTAGTAGAACAATTGCCCCCTTATTCTGCGAGTCACGTGACTCTCTGTCACCGGTGAGGTGACAATTGTCACCTCGTGTGAGGTGAATCTCTATGTAAATCAAATGGAGAGTCACCTCACACGAGGTGACTATTGTCACATCACCGGTGAGAGAGTCACGTGACTCGCAGAATAGGGGGCTGAGGATTTCCCAGTGCTTTTCTAAGGGAAGTTGAAAGACTAGGAAGAGAATATTGGTCGAAGGTTTTCCCTCATTTCGCAGAAGCATTTCCAGAAACTATTTGGAGAGTCAAGCTCAGCTACATTCATTGATGGTTTCAAGAGGCAATTCAAAGCAATTCCAGCTAAAATTCAGAGGATTATCAAGAAGCTATGTTTTATAGAAAAGCCTCATACAAAATCCAGGAAAATCTTAGGAATGTTGTTTTGTGAGCTTCACAAGAATATCCGTAAAACTTCTTAAAAGTCTTCCACGAGCTGATCGAAATGTTCCAATCAGTCTTTTACCTTCTAGAAATCAGAACTTCTTTTGAAAGACCTCAATGCATTTCCAGGTAGTGACTAAGGTAAGGATTCTTTGAGAGGTTCAGAGAATTTTAAAGCAGTCTAGTTTCCAGACCGTTCCCAAAATTCTTAGAATGACTCATGGAGAACGTTTAATGTTCTCCGATTTTTTTCTAAAACTTCCCTTAACTTCTTTTTCTGAGCTCCTTTTGAAAGACATCAATGCTTTTTCAAGCAGGACTATCCTAATAAAAATACCATAAAATAACGGTAATCCGGATGATAGAACGATTCCACAAATGGTTTAGATGATACCCCAAAACACGCCGTTAAGCTATTTGTTATGGTTATTTTCTATTAGGGTAAGGCAAGGACTCCATTAGATGTTCTACGGATTTCAACCAGTCAGTTTTCAAACGAATGACTCGTGGACTACCGCTATTCGCAGTCCCGTGTCCTCTGAAATTTCTATTCAAAAGGGACTGTTATGCGAATAGCGGCAGTGAAGAACCTTAAGGGTATTCTCAGAATATTTCCTGAATCTTCGCTAAACATCTTCAGAACTCCTTTTCAAAGACCTCAATGCTTATCCAAGAAAGCTACACGGACGATCAGGCCGACTCAAAATAGAGTCAAGTGGACTCAATTTCATCAAAAGAGGCTTTACTCAGTCTAATACTCCTAGACTGAGTACACTTTTCAAGGATTTTCCTCATATTTGAGAAGTTTTTCCTGGGAAAGCCCGGAAAACTAGACTCACTTTTAACAAAATTGGATCGAAACAACTGAATTTTGAGCCGGTCTGACTGTAACAAAGTGCATGAACTTTTTCTGGAAAGCACAACTTCCTGACAACCCACCGACGGTTCCCGGAAAATTTTAAAACGCTTCATGAAAAAAGTCCTGAGAATACTCTCTGAAAGCTTATTCGTAAATCTTACAATCACCTGATGGTTTCCCTAACAAAGACATCACTTTCAAGTGCGGGAGCACTTAAACTTTCTGACGAATCGATTTCCTAACACGGACATCAAAACCAATGCAGTGAACTAAGCTTCTGAAGTCTATCTTTTTCGACCAGCTTCCTGTGCACAATTTTCGCTGCGATAGCGAAGCTTTCCATTCCCGGGGAAGTCGATCTCTGCACCAATGACGCCAAATCGAATAACTCAGGACCAATTGTACGCAGCGACACATTTCACTCCTCTTGCTCAGCACACTCTAAAAGTACATAGCTAATAATAATCGAATGATTTTAATTTTCATCTTTTATCTTCCTCTCCAGATAACCAAACAAGGTACTCTACTGTAACAAAGTGCTGTTGAAAATTGATCCAGAAAGAAAAATAAAAAAACTCAAAACAGTAACTTAAAATTTCACATTAGTTTCGCTCACACGATGGAATAGATAGATTTTTTTTTTGATTGCAACATAATCTTTTTGTAACATTTTTTTTTCAACAGAAAATAAGCTTAACGAAAAAAAAAAAAACAGATTAGATTAACAAAACTGGAACCGAAAGGAAAATCCTAACTTGCAGTGACAATAGTAGGAGACAAAAGAAGCTTTGATATATTCTAGATCACGCTCGTGTCTCGCTTTCTCTCTCTCTCTCTCTTTCTCGCGCTCTGCGTGTATGAGTTTGTATTTGTATTGTTACTTGTCCTAAAATAAATACAATATCTACATTAGAATGAAAAGTTGTTGTTGGTGGTGGTTGATGGAGGTGGAAATATCAATCATTTCGTTTTTTGTTTGTGTGTTCAGTTCTGTGAATATCGGAACCACCCCCTTCCGACACTGCTGAACCGAGACAATACCAATAATCTTATAGTGATTAATGCCCGTTGTGGGTGTGTGTGTGTGTGTGTGTGTGTTTGCCACGACGTTCTTCGGTGATTGTTAGATTATAGGAACGCAGCTTTTCTGTATGTGTTTCATTTGCAGGAACCCTTTTTCATTTCATACAAGTTTTATTTTGTTAGTCAACCGATAGGTAAATCAAAACTTCCATATCCTGTCCATTAAAGAGTGTCACAATGGATTAAAAAAAAGCAACAAAACCGTAAATATCTCAACGCTTTGGCGCGAACGAGGATCCTCTCTCACCTCCAAAAGAACAAAACCTGATAAATCGAAAAACGGAGAGTATGTAACGTGGGCGTGGGCAAATCTCAACCCTCACCTCAACTCTTTGACTTTGAGAGAATCGACATGACAAATTACTAACATCACTAAAATAAGGCTACCCTATTTTGGCTCAAAACATTCACGAAACTGAATTATTTCGATTCCTTGATGCCTATTTATACATAAACATTACTATTCACAGGATTTGTTGTAGTTAAGGTAAATGTTTCAAGGGAGAGGCTTGCTCAATTGCTCAATGTTTACAATCTACTGTTCTCAGAGTGTGTGAGTGTGTTTGTTTGTCTATGACCAGTTCCTTACATGAAACCACATTTTTTCTATTAGAAAACAATAGAAAAAAAACGGGTTAAACAGAGAAATGTAACAAGCAATAAGCGTTGAATATTGTAAGATCTCTATATTCAAAAGGCATTTGAGCCGGGCGGGATTCGCGCACCTCGAACAGCATTGAGTAAACGAATTGAGTAAAGCCGAAAGGAAAATAGGAAAACGATCTGGATGATCTACTCATCGTCACTCTCGATCAGCTCCTCGACGATGTCGTCATCGTCGTCGTCCGACACGAACATCGCGTCCTCGGTGGGATCGTTGTCGGCCTTACCGGCCGGACGCCGCCGGCCGCCATTCTGGGAGCTGCTGCTGTAGCGGGACTTGCACGAGCGACGGTGATTCCTTCGCTGGTGTATTGCTTTGGTGTGGTTGCTGCTGCTGCGTACGTCCTCGTCGTCGTCGAACGCGTCCCCGTCGTCATCGTCGACAATTTCGATGCAGGCTCCTTCTCCTTCTCCTGCGTTGCCACCCGCCGGGAACATCGTGGCCGATTCGTCGATATCACATTCCTCTTCGATCAACAGTTCCGGATCGAATACGGGCGGCTTCAGTATCTCTATCTTCTCCTGCGGGGTACGCTTCTTGCGGAATTCGTACACCAGCGGGAAGATCTGCTCGATGGCGGCCTGCACGAACGCAACGCTGGCGGCTGTGGGCGAGATGAAAGGACAAGGAATTAGTGCTTTGGACTGGCGACCGTGTAACGGAACGATTGTTATTGTTCGGTTTAATCAATAATGGATGGAAATGAATAAGCTTACCAAATGCGGCAGACTACAGTGGGCTGATTTCCAAAATTTTATCGGACTGTCGAAGTTGATGGTAATGGTCAATGAATGGCAGGCTTAGCTTATGTTTCAGTTATTGATGAAGCCATGATTGCTTGGGTATGAAAAGTATGTAGCAAAATAATATGCGCAGGTTTTAAGCAATTGCAAGTTGATCCGAGTTGCCGGATGACCGTGAGAAAGGACTTAAGAGAATAACATGATGACTTGCAGGCGAAAAAGCACTTTGACTAGAGAGGGTCTAGTATAAGAGAGGAGTGGACTGGCTGATTTTGAGCCAAACGAACTGTCAAAGCCAGAGCCAATCGAGCCGCACCTATCTTGACTGCAGTGGCAGTGTTGCTAGAAATCGCCTGGGTATAGGTTGCCACGGCAGTTTGTATTGAATCCGCTCCTTTCTTATACTAGACCCTCTCTAACTTTGACTAGTTTATTCAATCAAAATACCGTGTTTTTCAGAATTCTGAAACTTTTCAAACCTTTCTTACAAACTCGGAAGTTTACTACGAATCTTCTGGAAAAGCTTTAAACTTTCTCTAGAAGTTGTACGAACTCCAAATTATCAGCTATCGAATATAATTGAATCTGAGAAGTTGGCGAGAATCAAAATGAGTCAGGCGAAAATAACGTCCAAGAAATTTTTTATTCTAAAATTAAAACCTCACTTTTTACCTGGGCACCCAACTTTCAAAAAATGATTCTTTGCCAATTTGCACTCGAATCGGTTGCAAAATGCAGATAATGATATGGAACTACCACTCACTGTAGCAACACAACTGTCGGTAGATAGCCGGCGCCGGTGGTGTAGTGGTAAGCGTAACTGCTTTCTAACACCCCGATAGGTCTGGGTTCAATCCCAGCCGAGGTCGGTGGGATTTTTCTGAGGCATAAAAATCTCTGGTCACGTCTTCCTTCGGAAGGGAATTAAAGCCGTTGGTCCCGGCCCATGTGTGTTGAATGGGTGCGATATCCTACGCAGGTGTGGAAGCTGCCTTCCTGCACATTCGATTGCCGTCAATGAATGGCAATCGATGTCCGTCGGTGATTGGCACTAGATTGCGGAACAGAGACCGACGTTAAATAAAGGAAAAAGAAGAACTGTCGGTAGACTTTGAACTATCCTCGCTTTTCGACATGATCAAGTTTAATAACCTCTAATTGTACTCAACCTGCCATTGTATGAAGGGCCAAAAACGGTTTGGGAGAATCCACGGGATAAATGAGAATCTCCTTCCAACAACAGGATCATACAACCAATCAAAACACAGGCTATCGAACAGGAGGATGCCCCAGTGACTGGGGAGAAGAGCCCACCTTATATTCACGAAATGTTAAAGACAGGGAGTTGGCATTTCCACTGTCCCCATCCATTTCGCTTCAATGGACTCTCCCGTTTTAGAACTAATTCGAGTGTTATTTGGGCATAAACTAGGTTTTCAAAGTTGGTGCACAGGTAAAAAGTGAGGTTACTTGACGTCGCTGACTAAAACAAATCCACAAATTTAAGCAGCAAATTGGCAAGCTCCTTTAGCCTTTTCCACCGAAAATTCAGTATATTTTGAGGACAAGTTCGATTATCCGAACTCCATATCCAGTGCATGGACAGATTTTAAAAATCGTTCAGAAAACATAGAACGTACAAGGCCGATCCAATGGACTCGGTAATGTTTTATTACGACCCAGTGCCCAGGGCTGGAGGGTTTTAATAACAAAGCCTACACTGAACGAAATCATCCTCCTGTTGTAGAATGAATTCGCATTCAGTTGACTACAGTTTATATGTTTCCAAATTTTGAATGACAAAACCATTTGGATGAATTTCTGCACAAGAACGTGTGTATTACTTTCGACTGACGAATGAATATTAACATATGTTTCATATGTGAACCATTTACAGAGCATATGCTAGGAATAATGGATAGTTTTCAGCTCAAAACAGAAAGAATTTCTTTTGCAAATGCACCATTACTAAAATCATTCGATATATGGCATATAATCGCTCGCAGTCTGACTTTCTAACATTCGAAAGAAACATTTCGGATTTCGGACATAAACTATAACACCATTAGTTTTGTTCAAGCAAATAATTCCGAAGATAAGTTACTCTCAAAATCAAAAAACATGGTGTGAACATTTACTTTTTGAAGTTTTTTTTTATTATGTTGCTTTAGGATCAATGTAATGGACTGATCTTCAGAGAAGCAAAATCCGTGAATTTAAGAGTAGTCAACAACCTCTAGAATAAAAAATAACGATGACCATCATTCAGCACAATATTTAGCCATGCCACCCCTGCTATAATGTCATCCGGCTCAGAAAGTCCATTTGTTTTTGTTTTGCAAATAAATATAAATATAAATATTTGAAATGAATCTTACCTTTCGAGATCAATAATCATTCGAGAGACATATGAACAGTATTCTACACTATTATTTTTTTTTTCGTTTGATTTACGTCTACGTAGGCTTTCAAAAATTAAACTAAAATCATCCAACAATAAGATGACAAGCATCCGAATTGGTTTGCTATGAATCGAATGACGATCATCTCAATATCATCTGATAAGTGGTATTGGGCTTGGGTAAGCGAATAATCATTCAATCCAAGGATGACGTTTAGGTTCAGTGTAATTAAAAGAAATCAGGCAGCAAGTTAACAAAAAACCACGATTCCAAATCCAGAAAGTTCTAATGGTCTACTGAGATAGTAATTACTGCACAGAACCCAGCGGTCCAGAAGTCACTAAGTGGAAGCTATCGATCCAAATCCATGAATTCCAGAGTAGCATTTGGATTTTCTGGTGTAATGTTTCTACAGAAGCTCGAGGAAATTGTAGAGGAATTATATAAGCGTCAAATCTCGATAGTTTCAAGGTTATCTTCAGAGATTTCCAGGGGACTTGGGAGGCTTCTATTAGGCGTTTCAGTATAAAGTGTAGAAGAAAGAAAGCGTGTTAAACATACATCATACATCGCTACTCAAACTGGAACATACAAATAGGTTGTATCTTTCTCAGCACTGTATTTAAGTAATATATCAATAACTAAAAAGTTTCCTAGGAAACTTCGAAAGGTCGAAATACACACGGTCGGAACCACTCAAAATTGATTTAAGTCAACCCAATTTCGTCCAAAAGCGGATTTACTCAAAAGTGAGATGAATTTACCGGGCAAAAGTCGTGGAAAACCAGGAAACACTTCACGAATGTGAGGAAAATCCATGAAAATTTTACTCAGTCTAGAAGTATACTAAAAGATTGAGTGAAACACCTCTATCGATTTTCCTCATATTCAAGAAGTTTTTCCTGGTAAATCCAGAAACATTCAATTCACTTTTGACGAAATTGGGTCGACCTAACTCAATTTTGAGTCGGTTTGATCAACCGTGCATATCCAGAGGAAGCTCAAGGCAACCGAGTCGAGGCACCAGCAAGGAAAGCCTAGAGAAAACTGAAGGAACTTCCAAAGGAAGTTGGAAGAAACTGCTAGAGGTAGTGGAAATAGATTTCCCGTCAAAGGGATTTTCCCGAGGAAGTAGGAAGAGACTTTCAGGACAAATTAAAAGAAAATTCCGGGGTAAATTAAATGATCCTTTCCAAAGAAGTCGGAAAAAGCTGCGGAGCAAGATGAAAGAAAATTCCGAGGGGAGTCTGAAGACACTTTTGGAGGAAGTTCAGGAGAAACTTTCCGAAGAGGCCGGAAGGGAAATCAGGAGAAAGTTTTAGGAGATCGGAAGAAACTTCCTGGTAAGCCGCCGAAAGGAAACTTCCGGGAGTAAACTGGAATAACTTCCAGAGGAAGTCTGGAACAACTTCTCGGGGTAAACCTGAAACAACTTCATGGAGAAATCTGGAAAAACTTCCCAGGGGAAGTCTGGAACAACTTCCCAGGGGAAGTCTGGAACAACTTTCCGGGGGAAGTCTGAAACAACTTTCGAGGGAAGTCTGAAACAAGTTCCTGAGGAAGTTTTAAACAACTTCCGAGGGAAGACTAAAGCAAGTTCCTGAGGAAGTCAGAAACAACTTTCGAGGGAAGTCTGAAACAACTTTCGAGGGAAGTCTAGAAAAATTTGCGATGGAAGTCTGAAACAACTTCCGGGGGAGGTCTGACACAAGTTCCTGAGGGAGTCTGAAACAACTTCCGGGGGAAGTCTGGAACAACTTCCGGGGGAAGTCTGGAACAACTTCCGGGGGAAGTCTGGAACAACTTTCGAGGGAAGTTTGAAACAATTTCCGAGGGACGTCTGAAATATGTTCCTGAGGGAGTCTGAAACAACTTCCAAGGGAAGTGTGAAACAACTTCAGAGGGAAGTCTGAAACAACTTTAGATGGAATTCTGAAACAACTTCCCAGGGAAGTCTCAAACAACTTCCAGGGAAGTCTATAACAACTTCCAAAGGAAGTCTGAAACAACTTCCCAGGAAAGTCTGAAACAACTTCCGATGGACGTCTGAAATAAGTTCCTGAGGGAGTCTGAAACAACTTTCAAGGGAAGTCTGGAACAACTTCCGAGGTAAGTCTGGAAAAACTTCCGATGGAAATGTGAAACAGCTTCAGAGGGAAGTCTGAAACAACTTCCGCGGAAAGTCTGGAACAACTTTCGGGGAAAGTCTAGAAAAACTTGCGATGGAAGTCTGAAACAACTTCCGGGGGAGGTCTGACACAAGTTCCTGAGGGAGTCTGAAACAACTTCCGGAGGAAGTCTGGAACAACTTTCGAGGGAAGACTGAAGCAAGTTCCTGAGGGAGTCTGAAACAACTTCCGCGGAAAGTCTGGAACAACTTCCGCGGAAAGTCTGGAACAACTTTCGGGGGAAGTCTAGAAAAACTTGCGATGGAAGTCTGAAACAACTTCCGGGGGAGGTCTGACACAAGTTCCTGAGGGAGTCTGAAACAACTTCCGGAGGAAGTCTGGAACAACTTTCGAGGAAAGTCTGAAACAACTTTCCTATGGAGTCTGAAACAAGTTTCTGAGGGAGTCTGAAAAAGCTTCCGGGGAGAGGCTGAAACAACTTCTGGGGGAAGTGTGGAACAACTTTCGCGGGAAGTCTGGAAAAACTTCTGAGGGAAATCTGAAATACCTTCAGAGGGAAGTCTGAAACAACTTCCGAGGGAAGCCTGAAACAACTTCCTGAGGAAGTCCGAAACAACTTCCGGGGGGAAGTCTGATACAAGTTTCTGAGGGAGTCTGAAACAAGTTTCTGAGGTAGTTTGAAACAAGTTTCTGCGGAAGTCTGAAACAGGTTCCGGAGGGAGTCTGAAACAACTTCCGAGGAAAGTCTGAAACAACTTCCGGGGGGAAGTCTGGAACAACTTCCCAGGGAAGTCTGAAACAACTTTCGAGGGAAGACTAAAGCAAGTTCCTGAGGGAGTCTGCAATATCTTCCGCGGAAAGTCTGAAACAAGTTTCTGAGGGAGTCTGAAACAGCATCCGGGGAGTCTGAAACAACTTCCGGCGGGAAGTTTGGAACAATTTCCGAGGGAAGTCCGAAACAACTTCCGATGGACGTCTGAAATAAGTTCCTGAGGGAGTCTGAAACCACTTCCAAGGGAAGTCTGGAACAAATTCCAAGGTAAGTCTGGAAAAACTTCCGATGGAAATGTGAAACAGCTTCAGAGGGAAGTCTGAAATAACTTCTGACTGAAGTTTGAAACAACTTCCGAGGTAAGTCCGAAGCAACTTCCCAGGGATTTTTGAAACAACTTCCGAGGGAAGATTAAAGCAAGTTCCTGAGGGAGTCTGAAACAACTTCCGCGGAAAATCTGGAACAACTTTCGGGGGAAGTCTGGAAAAACTCCCGATGGAAGTCTGGAACAACTTCTTAGGCATGTCTGAAACAAGTTTCTGAGGGAGTCTGAAACAGCTTACGGGGAGAGTCTGACACAACTTCCGGGGGAACTGTGGAAAAACTTCCGAGGGAAATCTGAAACAACATCCGCCTGAAGTTTGAAGCAACTTCCGAGGCAAGTTTGAAACAACTTTCCAGGGAAATCTGAAACAACTTCTGAGAGAAGTCTGACACAACTTCCGAGGGAAGTCTGCAAAAACTTCCTGAGGGAGTCTGAAACAACTTCCTGAGGGAGTCTGAAACAACTTCCGACTGAAGTTTGAAACCACTTTTGGGGGAGGTCTGAAACAACTTCCAGGGGAAGTCTGAAAAAGTTCATGAGGGAGTGAGTCTGAAACAACTTCCGGGGAGAAGTCTGGAACAACTTCCGAGGGGCGTCTGAAACAGCATCGGAGCGAAGTCTGGACAAACTTCCGAGGGAAGTCTGAAACAGCTTCAGAGGGAAGTCTGGAAAAACTTCCGAGGGAAGTCTGAAACAACTTCCGGGGGAAGTCTGGGACAACTTTCGGGGGAAGTCTGGCAACATCTGGGGGAAGTCTGGAACAACTTTCGGGGGAAGTCTGGAAAAACTTCCGATGGAAGTTTGAAACAACTTCTGGGGGACGTCTGAAACAAGTTCCTGAGGGAGTCTGAAACAACTTCCGGGGTAAGTCTGGAACAACCTCAGCGGGAAGTCTGAAACAAGTTGGGTATATAATAAGGGTTCTACCACAACTTTCATTTCAAAATTTGCCCGACCCAATTCTGAGAAATTCAGTCACGATAAATCAGTTGTAACTTTAGGTAAACTTTTAGCATACAAAATCTGAATAGTAAATTGTTTCAATTATGTTCGAAGTATGTTCCATTTAATACCTTTCAAATGACCTAAAGAGAAGGAAATTTTGACGTAAAATGACAGATATATGAACATAACAAATTTGCATGTTTTTTTTTTGGGTGACCCCATACTTATGATCGGGAGTTAATATGAGAAAATTTCTGGATCTTGAGACTAGACTTGAGGTTTTCACAGTCTTAATTTTTTTAGATTACGAATGCGAAAGATTTAAAATATCGAATATCAAATATGGCGTAGAGGTCCAATTTAAAAAAAAAATCATCGCTTGATCAAAATTTTAAGATATTCTGCATATAATTCTTAAGGAGCTAAGATGTTCCAGGTAATTTTGAGAAGTATTTCAAGAAAATTGTGAGGAGAATTAAAGGTAAATTCCACGGTAGCTCTGACGAGACTATTACGGGGATTGAGCTGATAATTCCAGTGACGTCTAGAGCAATTATAAGGGATGTTTCAGCAAATTTCCAAGAAATTCTGAGTAGCATTCCAGGAAGAATGTTCCAAGATAATTTCAAGAATTATTCTGAGGAAACCACATTTTAAAGATAGTTCTAAGGAAATTGTAAGAGTTTCTCTCATGGGAATTTCGAGAAGAATGTCAAGAGAACTCTCAGGGAATGTCTGATGTGAATTCTAAAGGTATTCCAAAAGTAGGAATCCCTGAAGATATTTTCTAAATAATAAGAATTGATGATTCAAGAAAATTCTCAGGTAAATTTTAATGGAATTCTGGAGGAGGATTCCGAGGTAAGTACTATGGGGATGTTTTCTACATTCTTCGACATGGTTTTCCAGGTTTAAAACTTACAAAGTACTAACGTTAGTTTTGAGTAATTGTGATCTAAACAATTAATGTCGGCTCCGCAAAGCTACAGCAAATGAGCCTGGAAAAATAAACGCATTATATAAATAAAAACTTACAAAGTTTTCCAAAATGCCGAAAATATGACACAATGTTATAGTTTTAATACAGAATTTTTTGAAATATGTCTAATGGACCGTGTAGCTATAATTAGAAATGGCATCAAAATACAATTTTTCAAAAATATTTTAGCATGTGTAAAGTCTAAGTCTTGGTAATTTTTTTTACACGGTAAATAAACCAGTGTAAAAAAAGGCCTGGTCTATGCAAAATTATACGCCCCTTTCAACATGCTCGATGTGCATTTCGATGCGATATTACAAAATATTGCCTTAAACCTTTAACACCCATACGTACTTCCATTAAATCCGATTTTATCAATGTTCGTACCCTTGATGGAAAAACCCATCGCTTCTCGACACCGTCCCCCACCCGCTACTCACCCGTCACTGTGATGCTGCCGGTGGAGAAGATCTTCAGCGTCGCCTTGGGGTTGTACAGTTTGTAGGTCACACCCGGGTGCAGCTCCGGCTCGTAGCTGGCGTCCTTCTTGTACCTCTCGGAGAAGTTGACGATCATGATGCCCCACGGCATACTGCACGTCCCCAGCACGTTCACGATTCGGAAATTCCTAAACCTAACATTAAAACCTAGTTTCTGAAGGCAACGCGAGTAACGCCGAGCCGCAACCTTTGCCTGCAAGCAAACCAAAACCAAACGTTAGATTGTCACGGTTGTTCGTGAAAACGGACAACTGTTTACCTGATCTTCCGAAGTAGCACCGGTGCAGGTAATTTTGCCCGAAGACCAAATGGACGCGGTCGTGTAGGGACGTCGCAGCTTCATCGTGACCATTCCGTTCTCGCGACGGAACTCCACGTTGAAACCGTTCAGTGCGATGTTGCGCAAGTTCAGATGACAGCGGACGCTGAACGAACACACCACATTGTTAATGACAATGTCGATTTCTGGTTCGGGTTCTTGCTCCTGGTCATCCTCCTTCTCGGCGGTGGCGGCGACGGTGGAGTTCACCTCCGTCTCGCCAGTGGCAGTGGCAGGTTGTTCTTCTGTCCCGTTTCCACAGTCACCGTATCCGTCGGAGGTCGCAGTGGTCCGTGCGGAATCGGTGGTATTGGCAGTCTGGCTCTCGGATACAGTCTGATGTTGATGTTGGTGATGAGAATGAAGATGCGACGACTTGGACAGCCCTGTTGCCGAGCTCTGTTGGGTCCCATTTATGTACACTAAGGAGCTGCTGGTGTTATTCGTTAGGTGTGGCAGCGGATGATGAGTTGACGAGAAGGATTGCATTGTGGCGGTACTAGTGGTGGTGGGTGATGCTGCTGCTGAACGAAATATTGCATTGACGTCGACGTAGGCATTGTTGAACTGACTCTGAAAGGAAGTGGTGGGAGTAGCAGTCGTTGTGACAATATGCGGATGACTACTGTTGCTGCCGCCGAAGATTTGCTGCGTCGACAGATGATGATTGCTCTGGAGATGACTGATGAATTGGCTGTTGAAGCTGCTCGAATTGGTCAAGCTGATCGAGCTGGAGGCAGGCAAATGTGACGACGTGAACGTCGTTTGCTGATGAATCAACGGCTGCTGGTGGATCAAGGTGGTCGTCGTCTCGTGTGGTAGCAACATCCTGCTTGCACTTCCGGGAACGGTGGCCATCGTGGCACCCGCTGCCGCCACCATCGTTGCTGTCTGGTTATCGTTGGTGCCATTTACGACCACCACGTTGTTTGTTCCATTGGTCAGATTTTTCATAAAACTCTTCTGCTGTAACAGAGTAGCCATACTACTCTGGTTACTGCAATACATAAATATTGGTGCTCTTTCGAGCGACTGATTTTTCTTTCGTTGCTTCCTCCCTCACACTCACTCTTGCGCTTTCTTCTTGTCCTTCTTCTTTCCTTTCTGGTGAATGAAGCTTTTCTTCGCTATCTTTCTTCCTTGATTTTCACCGCGATCCGCTATAGTTGCGGGCCCTCTCAGAATATACAAAAACACACACACAGGAACACAACTGATTCACAACAGAACACTGCACTGTGATTTATTTTTGCTTTTGCACACTCACTTAGTCGCTAGTTTTGTTTTTTTTTCTTCAGTAGGTTATATTTTTACCAAGTAACAACCAATAATAATAAATGGAAAAATGTGAAGGCGACTTGCTGCTGCTGCTGCTGAAGGAAATCCATAAAATTAGTGGTGGTAGATTATTCGAATTTTCCCCGTTATCTACATGTCATTTGGGAGCTCTAAAGTGTGGTGGTGGTTTGGTCGATGGATGCTGCCTGGTGTTTCTGTTGAAGATGTGCACAGAGATAAAATTTGATGATGCGGCTGCCGTTGCTCGGGCTGTCGTGTGGCTCAGAGTCTGTGGAAAAATCGAGAAAATGAAGACATGAGTTTGTTGCTGAATGAACCGAAAACACACAGAATAATAGGGACGGTTTCCCTTTGTGATGGTAAATGCTGTATGATCGAAAAATTAATAGCTGTAGAGGAATCTGGCACTTTGTTTGTACAAAACATGTGTCATCAAGTCAAATGACACTTGTTGCTGTGCATTAAGAATTTGTCTAGAGATCTTCGAATTGGAATTCAGTGATCGATTAAGACGTTTTCGGCGAGGTCAGTAGGGTTTTGACGGTATATGAAGTGAATCTCCAGGACAGGTCCAGCGTACTTCCAAGCACCCCTTTGAAATCATCGGGTAGGATTGGAACCTTGCAGGAAGTTGAATCCGTCGTCTCCCTCTCAGCAACGGGATCCACAACAGGAGGTGTAACATCTTCTTCAGCTTCCTCGGAATAGAAGGATTCATCAGATTCAGCAGGATTTTCGTTCACATCGGGCATCTCTGGTTGGTCAGCATTCATTGAATACTTGAGAGCCAAAATCCGTTGAAGAATACAGAAAGTGGTGATGGATCTTGAGATACGACGTCTTCAGAAATCCGTAGCTTCAACTGGTTGGAATGTGAACGGATAAGGTACACATTATACCTATGTGATTCCTAATCTTCTATTCGTTGTTCCCTAGTTTGAAGTGGTTAAGGGTTGTGATGCATGGTCATTATCGGTGTCATTGTTTATTTTTGTTGCTAAGGAATCCAATTGTGACTGACAAAGGAGGGCGCCTTTGGAGGGTGTTTCAACACTCCGAAAGGTATAAATAGCGCGACCTTTCAATTAGAATCGATTCCTTGCGATGAACACAAGAATGACAACTGTATCAAAACCGAATACTTCATCATTTCTCAATTGTGATGGAGCAATACGTCATGCACTAAACTAAGGACACAGGATATACCACAATAGATCAAATTACTGGTCGCAGTGGTGTTATGTCCCGAACAGAGGAATAATCAAGTCATCCAGTAGGATTGGAACCTTGCAGAAAGTTGAATCAGTCAGGAACTGGTTCCACAATAGGAGGTATAGTATCTTCTTCAGCTTCCTCCGTATAGAAGAATTCATCAGATTCAGCAGGATTTTCGTTCACATCGGGCATCTCTACCTCTGGTTGGTCAGCATTCATACCGTGTCTTGGAAGTTCAATACTTGAGAGTCCAAATCCGTCGAAGAACACAGAAAGTGGTGATGGATCTTGAGATACGACGTGTTCAGAAATCCGTAGCTTCAACTTGTTTGAATGTGAACGGATAAGGCGTTGACGTTCTTCCAGGTACACATTGTAGTTGACGAGTTATTTCGATTTACTGCCGTTTAACTGCTCCATGCTTCTTATTGTAAGCTTCATTTTGTTTTTCAGTTTTGCCGATGGGTACTGAAACAGTATCGGATGGACTTGAAGGAAAATTTGCAATGCTTCTTCCAAGGTGTCTCCTCCCGCACGAATTTTCCGCAAATTTCTCTTAAGAGTATCCAAAAAACGTTCAGCCAAGTCCATTCGATTGCGGAAGAAAAGGAACTGTTCGAATGTGGTTGATGCCAAGATGTTCGCAACATGTCCGACATCCATAACTTGTAAATTGAGTTCCGTTATAGGATAGGATGGTTTCAGGAACGCCAAAGATTGAAAACATCTGATTAAGGAGCTTCATTTTTGCTTTTGTCGTAATTGTTCGACCGTTCCAAGGTTTTGCTGGAACGGGCCATGCTTCGAGCGTTGCCTTTAGTGGGCTTTTTCCTGCAGTGGCACACGGTGAGCAACGTTTCACGAAGTCTTCCTTGTTTCTATCGATTCCGGGCCAGTAGATGAAACTGCGAACGATCGACTCGTACGATTCCTGGGTGTCCACGGTGATTGTGGTGTGATTGCTTCATGATCTGATGTCGATACTTGCTGGGCACTACCACCCTGTCGTGAAACATCATACAGTCGTTGACGAGACTGAGCGATTCACACCTCCGTGTCAGTGATTGAAGTAGGGTTGCATCGCTTGACTTGGTAGCTTCTTCAAACGATATATTATTATTATTTAGCTTTATTTAGGAGGCTTTCAGCCTTAGGCTGGTTCGCCTCCAGATCTCAAACGATATAGGTACCTTGTTTACAGCGTCTCTCAGAATGCTTGTCATGTCTTCTTCAAGGGTAACTGCAGCTACTACATATTCCTCTTCAGGTAGGATACTGCGGTCAATAAGCCTTGATAACATCTCTGCACAGCCGAAATCGTGCTGGATATTGAAGTCATAGTTCAGGAGTATCAGCGGCCGGTTTGCGGTGCGTAGTGGAATGCCCTTTTTGGATCCAAAAATCAACAGAAAATGTTTATGGTCCGTCAGCAGCGTGAAACAGCGTCCCAGTAAGTACTTGTGGAGCTTCGTAACGGCGTACACCAGAGCAAGTGCCTCCTTCTCCGGTTGACCATATCCTCTCTCCGCTGGTGTGAGTGAACGTGATGCATGTTGAATCGCCTTCAAGCTTCCGTTCGGGAACTAATGAAAAACAACCGCACCGATACCTGCGCTGGGTGCGTCCGTTGCAACAATCATCGGCAATTTCGGGACGTAATGCGTCAACAGGAGCTTGGATTGAAGAATTTTCTTCAGAGTTCCACCCCCACTTCACTCCTTTTTTCAACAGCTTGTCCAGGGGATGTCGCAGATCGTGCATGTTGCGAACAAAACGTCCATAGGAGTTCACATCTCCAAGGAATTAATGAAACTCGGAAATGTTTGTTGGTGGTGGAATCGATGCAATGGCCTTCAGCTTCTCGGGATCCGGGCGAATGCCTTCAGGCTGGACAATGTGTCCCAGATATATAATTTTTGTTAGGTAGAATTTGAATTTCTCCATCATGAAAACCATTTTCTTGCAAACGGTTGAGTAGCTTTTCGAGTGATGCGGCATGCTATTTCAAGTCCTTTTTGAATATCTGCGATCATGCTGTCTATCAAGCGTTGGAATGCTCGTGGAGCTGCCTTCATCCTCTGTGGGTGTTGATCGTAAGGAGTTTCTTGGAGTCGTCAAGCACTTCCACTAGTAGGTAGGCATGCGACAGATATGCTTCCATTGAGCTGCGCGAATATCTCTTCGGGGTTCGGTAGCGGGTAGTGATTGACTTCGAATGAACCATTTAGTCCCATAGAACAATACGCCGTTTGGTTTCCGAACTGCTACAATTGGCACTGCCCATTCTGAGAAAACTACTGGTGAGATGATTCCAAGATTCTTATTTTGCTTGAAGTTGTCTTCGACTCTCCGACGACAGCAGGCAAGATTCCGTGCTGGAAGATCCTGTGTGGACCATATTGTCACGCTCCGCATCATCTTGGATCAGGTCAATGAGTTCCAAGAGTCCCTGTACTTGGTATTCATTGACTACGAAAAAGCTTTCGACCGACTAAACCACGAAAACTTGTGGGGCGCTCTGAGACGCAAGGGAGTCCCTGATAAGATCGTCAACCTCATCGAAGCGCAGTATGAGGCTTTCTCATGCAGAGTGTTGCACAATGGAGTTTTGTCTGACCCGATTCGGGTAATCGCGAGTTTGAGGTAAGGATGTATATTATCACCGCTACTGTTCCTCATCGTAATCGACGAGATCATGGTTGGAGCTGTTGACTGTGTACCGAACCGTGGGTTGCTGTGGCAGCCTATTACTATGGAGCATCTCGACGACTTCGATTTGGCTGATGATGTTGCGTTATTAGCACAACGGCGCTCTGACATGCAGAGTAAGCTCGACGACCTTGTGGAACGCTCTTCTGAAGCAGGTCTAACCATCAACGTCAACTAGACCAAATCGTTGGATGTCAACACGGAAAACCGTTCCAATTCCAACGGTAGCTGGGCAAGCAGTGGAGAAAGTCGAAAGCTTCCAATATCTTGGCAGCCAGATAGCGTCGGACGGCAGCACCAAGAGCGACATAGGTGCACGGATTAAGAAGGCGAGGGCTGCTTTTGCCAGTTTGCAAAATTTATGGAGAGCGAATCAGATCAGTCGACGCACCAAAATCCGAATTTTTAACTTGAACGTGAAACATGGTGTGTATCAGCGGAGAACACGCAGAAGCTGCATGTGTTTATCAACCGATGCCTGCGGTACATAATTCGTGCCTGGTGGCCCCACAATTGGATCTCAAATGCCGAGCTTCATCGTTTGTGCCATCAGAAGACAGAAATTCGTGAACGGAAGTGGAGGTGGGTCGGCCACACACTACGACGGAGCGGAAACGAAATCTGAAAGCAAGCACTGGACTGGAATCCAGTAGGACATCGCAGCAGAGGCAGACCCAGAGGCTCGTCACGGCGAAGCCTGAACAGTGAAATTAAGAACGTTGACCGAAATTTGACTTGGGCACAGGTCAAGGCCAAAGGTAGCGATCGCCCAGGATGGAAATCTTTCACAAAGGCCCTTTGGATCCCTGGAGGTGCGCAGGATCGTTAAGTAGTGCGACGTTTTTTTTTGTCGAATGGTGACTTGTCCTTAGATCCAATGCGGTTACATCCACTCAATGCCCAGAAGGTTGAGATCGGGCCGAGGTGACAAAACATCTTCCTTGCTTTGCCATGCCATCGATAGCTGCCTAGCATTGGAACTCACCAGGCTTGATGGAACCTCGCTCGCGAGTTTGAAATGACCCGAGCGTAGCATTTTTCTGAGGAGTAGAATGCCTACTGCTAAATCATTCCATTGAGCTTCGAGCTTCAGAGCTTGTGAGCGAAGGGGGATAAAATGAGAGTGAGGTTTGCTGCCATTTATGTTCATGTTTTCTATCACACTCTGGGTGAACTCTGAGCTTCTTGCGTCGAACAAAAAAGTCATCCGGAGTCTCGAAAAGCGCACCTCACGTCAAATCATCCTCTCACTGAAGTTCACTCTCCCTCTCTCTCGAGGAGTTTTTGTTTACTACTTCCATATTCCTGCCGCCACTCACTCGAGGTGAGGGCTGGCTAAACTCG